TTGGTAGCCAACTTTGTTGAATTGTGAAAAGTGTGTGTAAATTGTCAAATATTGTAGGCTTTAGAGGGTGAAGCTTTGGCTATAAAAGGAGAGCTTCAACTCTCATTTCTTCACACCAACAAAGAGAGAAAGAAAGAGTGAGGTTTCACAGACAAGGTATAAGAAAATAGTCTGTGAGGAAAATAGAGAGTGAGCGATATTGTAGTGAGGTGGGAATATCAAAAGAGGGTTATTTCTTTTGAGTGTTGTAGTGGTCTTTGGAGTATTTACCTCCGACCTACAAAGTGTAAAATTCCTTACTATAGTGATATCAGTTGCTCCTCTCGGGGTCGTGGTTTTTTTTCCCTTATTCAGAAGGGTTTTCCACGTAAAAATCTTGGTGTCATTGTTACTCTTTTATTCTTGTTAATTACCGTATCTCGGTGCTACATTATTATTCCGCTTTATTACCGTGAATATTATTTTGGTAAGGGGTTTATTCCCAACACTATCTTCCGTATCTACAGTATCAAGACGCCCAATTTTTTTATATAGAAGTGGGTAAGAGGTCGCAACCACAATCTCCTAATTACTTATGAGCAAAATGATCATATGTTAAAAAAGGCAGCAGAGATCTAATGGTTCTACACAAACTTGATGAATTGAAAGGTGAAATTGATTGAGCATCCAACAATAAACCATTATTTATTGACATTGGTTTACAAAAGCAACAGAGTAGTGCATAAAACCAATACAACCATTTCAATCATACACATAGCAAACAATGATATACACTTAAGCACAATACAAATATATGGTATATGACTGTACGTAGATTGAATTGCCTTAGAATATGCCGAAAGTGCTTGTAACTGGTGGAGGAGGAGCCTTGTAGCAATATAGTTGTGGAATATAAGTGGAACCTTGGCGTTCCATGGACTTCACAGCAGGTTGGTTTAGATATGCATACTTGCTCTTTGTCCACCTGCAAATCTCAAAAATATATATATACTATAAAAAAATGCTTTTGCTTTAAAACAAATGAAAGACAATGATATCATATAGCAGATCAAATCCTAACATAATGATCTAAAATGTGTTAAAAGTCTCTAGCACTTACCAGTCTTTTATACCGACTCTCTTCTCCTTTATGTTGTCATCAATTTTGGAGATGTTCTCAGTTGCCATTTCATTCTCCTTGTCTTCATCATCCTGCTTTAAGGAATCCACAAACTGTTTGTAGTCCTCCTCCTTAATACAACAGACAATACGGAAGCAAGTTAATTAGAAATACTGGAGTCTAAATCAAATACTAATTAGGACGCTGCTAATTTATGAGGAAGCCCGGTGCATAAAACATCTCGTATTCACCACCAGGGTGTGATGTAGGGAGCTGATAAGTATAGATGACAGGCAAGATATAGTGTGTTGTCAATTGACCGGTCAAAATCTACTCTTCCAAATTCATCTTGACAGTTTCCATGGAAATAGTGCAGAGATTGGGACAAGGGAAAAAAAATGGTAATAAAAGTCAGGTCATTGTCATTAGCTATACATATCACAAAGTGCAGCTTACGCATCTCATTAAAGATTCAAGAGGTGGGGAATGGTATCTTTTCTTAACTTATTTTATATTCCTATATATATTAGACAGAAAACAACAGTAGATATTCATCCAAAACATTTTTAATCATTCAATCTTGTAGTGGCCTACTGGGCCCATAAGAAGAATCCAAGTGTAGTGTTATATAGTGTATATAATAATGCAACGTAATAACCATTGCTTGTGGACATCGTCCTTCAATTAACTATTATTATTGGCCCTTCGGATGAATATGACTTCTAAGGAATCTTATTGATAGGAAAACACGCAAAGAAAATGGAGCACTCAATATTTCTTACGTACTATTTATCTAGTCTTGAGTATGAAAAATTAGCGAAGTCATCTATTGTGTGATTTGACATGTCTCCTACTTTCTAATACCATGTTTGGCCAATTTTTTTTTGGGCTAAAATCAGTTTTCAAAAGCTTGATCAAAGTATTTTCAAATTAATTAGCCAAACATAAATTAATTCTCAAAAGTATTTTTTTTGAAAAACATTTTTTTAGATTTTAGAAGCTTGCCCAACACTTGTAAATGCTTTATTCAAAGTTGCAAGCTGGACATAGATCAGGATGAGGAATCCTTGCAATGAGAAAAAATAAACTTTAACCAAGTAAACAAATCAAAACCCTGAATTCTAAAACAATAAGGTTGTTTCCTATAGTTCTGATTCATTTGTCAAAAACTGTAGGAATTTACACGTTTTAACTCATCACTATTTTAATGGAATTGATATGAAACATTACCGAGAAATTGCGTGCCCTGATACGGGCTGCAGCCTTAATAGCATCAAGGAAATGATCTTCTTCAGTTTTGCGCTTCTGCTTCCAATACTTAGCAATCTCCTGTTTGGTCAGGCTTGGTGCTGCCATCGGCTTAAATAGCAGTTTCCTGCTACAAATGAACCTCCATGCTGGTAGTGGCGGTGGTGGTGGTGGAGACGTCTTCTTCATCTCTTTTCCATCAGCTACACTTTTACCTTCCCTTTGCTTCATTTCAACAACTATTATCCAATGGATCTTCTTGCCGGATTTAGAAGTTTGAGCTTTCAAGACTATGAGAAGATGATCAAAATATATGCTGAAGCTGAATAACTGGAGATAGCTATTGTTCAAACCAAACCTTCAATATGACTGTAAGTTCCAGCTAGCAGGAACTTGTTTTTCTTCTGTAGGGACTGAGTTTAGACTAGTCGGTCCACCGTATCAAGAAACAAAATTAGACTAGTAGTTAGAATCACAAATATTTCAGTAAGGTACAAGAATAGACTTATTTGGGACCAGATGTTGAAGGACTTACAGGTTTGATGTTCAATAGAGTCGTCTGACAAATAACATGGATTAGCCAGAGAGCTATACTGAAGAAATTGCTGATAGTTGAGATAGATGCCTTACAACTTAATTTGAACGAGTCTTTAAGCTTGATTTTAGCAAACTTGCGGATATATATTTATTTACAATAAATAAATAAATGTCAATAGAATACGACTCCGATCGAAGACTTCTGAACCACTTGCTTATTTAACTAATAAAACGGCTTTTCATTATCCTTATCTCAGCAATTTGGTATGACGTTATCAGTTACCCACCATTGCTTTTGTTTTGTTTTTTTGTGTGTCATGCTGCAAATTTCTTCTAAAAAGCAACATTATTGTTTCCATTGGAAGTAGAATTTTTGACTGTTGCGATGGACAATATGCAGAGTCCCTCCTATCAAGAAACCTTTTCTGTTTGGGTTTATATCCATATTGGGGTCGACTAAATTCGAGTTTGCGCTGGAAACTCCTGCATTTGGAGGTAAAGCACTTCCTATTTAGGATTTGAACCCAAGATCATTGGATAAGGATAAAGGAGTACATACCACTCCACAAAAATACCTATTGGCCAGATCAAGAAACTTTAGTGCTGCTTGCCTTCTGACCACCTCTCCAACCCCACTCCTCATAAAAGAAGTAGAATAGAAGAACTACTTCAGCATCGATTTTATCCTATCACATTAACTCTAGTTTTCTTAGTCAGCATAATTTTACCAGAATTATTAAAAACGACCTTGGACAAGATTAGGCGGTGATTTTAGTGAAAATTAGAGATATGCATCACCTAACTGACATTCTGATGAGTGATTAATTGGATACCAACCACTTATGATTAGGTATAGTCCAGGTTTAATTTATTGTACTTTCAGTTTAATTGGTACCCATTGGCTGGTTCTTGATAGATCAACATTAGAACCATATGCACCAATCGTGTCCGCGTAAAAGTCAGTGATAAACCCAGTTTTCTTTCTCAATACATTATGTAATTGTTTGCAGAATTTTAGCTTCAACTACCATAGTACTCAGCCAATTCAGATTGGAAATTATAAGGCACAACTGATTGCTGCTCAATGATATCGGTTCCACGCCTGGATAACAGTTGACTGGTGGCCTTTTAGATGTGAGTAAATGTAAAAGGAACATCTACAGTATCTCCGTTTTAGAATTGGGTAAAATCTTGCTATCACAACGTCTGACATACAAAGTAAAATAATCATATGCCGTCTACTCAAGATGGTTTAATAATGCAGGTTAAGGAAGAGTACCGTCGGATTAATATGGACCGCAAATTCAACTGAGTCTGGAACCAAAATGTGGTTCTCTTGGACTCAAACTACATAAATAGGTGGTAAAAAAAAATTATATTTTTATATATAGCGCCATAATAACCTGGTGCTATACAGTAACAGTAACGACACTGTTAATGTATAGCGTCAGGTATTGTGACGCTATACTGTAAAATCTGACACGCCCAGGTATAGCGCCACAATACCTGGCGCTATACATACATCATTAATGTATAGCGCCAGGTATAGTGGCGCTATACATACATATTTTATATCCCCTCCGTCTTCTTCGTCGATTCATCCTCCATTATTTTAACTCCCCTCTCTTCTTGGTCCCCCACCCCATACCCGTTTCTGCCCTTATTTTAAAATAAAAATATTTTTTGGGTCCCCCCGACACATAAAACTCGAAGAACGTAGGTCCCACATTCGAGTAGAGCTTCATGTTATTGTTGATTCACACGGAGTCAAAATTTCAATCTTTTTGCTTTCCGAAAATTCTAAATCGAGGAATTCAATTTATTTTAAGTTGAAACATTTATAATAATGCATATTATTTGATTTGTATGTGTTCTATTTCGGTTTGTATTTTTTTTTTCCGAAACTAGCATGTTAAATTTATCCGGATTTAATATTAGTGTTTTCTAAAAAAATATAAATTAGTAAAATAAATTTATCTGTTAATATCCTGATTTATATATATGTGTTTTCATGCCNATGGTTAGTTTAGATTATTTTTTAGCGTAGTAAAATCTAGACCTTTTTAGCGTAGTAAAACGTAGACCCTTATAGCGTAGTAAAATTTAGAGCCTTGTAATGTAGTAATGTATAGTATTTTAGCTTAAAATTCCTTTTGTTTAAGTATCTTATACTGGTTGTTGAAAATGCAAACTTTGTACAATTAAGTTAATAATTGTATAAAAA